TAGACAACAGTAAGTGTCTTACTAATTACAATTTTGATACTACGTATTATTTTTACCATGGAAGACTTATAGAACCAGAGATTTCGGGAAAACATTTGGTACCAAACGTTTGCAGATGTCGCTTTTTGTGTGTGTTATTAATTTTGTTGGTTTTCATGTAGTTACTCCGAAATGCTGCCAAATGTGTGGAGGTTATGTATGGTGTAGCAGGGTGGTCAGCATACTTGTAGAGCCTAAGGATGACATGATGACCGTTATAATAAGTCAGGACCAAGATAATAACCACACCGACCATATCGCGACGGACCAAAATATACATTTGTCAACTTTCCAAGTGTTGTATATAGTTTGACACAGACACATAACGACCAGTAGATTATGATACCAAAAGCAATCCTCAACATGTGATAAGGTTATTTGAAAGGAGGGCTTTAAATTCTCGGAAGGTTGGAAGTTATTGGGCACTGCGCACAAGTTTGAAGTGGGTTCATTGCACTTCATGTTCATGTTTGGAAAGTTGGAATTTTCGTGCAGTATGGTGTACGCATGCGCCGTATATAGCAGCCTCAGTGTAGTCTGTCCTAATACGTGGTGGTTTATGGTAGCTATCAGTTGGCTTACCGACTTTTTACTCTTGAAAACCGTTGATGAAAAATGAAAGCAGACGCTCCACTATTTTCTTGTCTTTTTTGTCATAACATACATGAAAGTTATGTTGAATGAGAAAAGAAAAGGAAATTTCTTTATACTTTTTACATTTTTTTGAACAATGACAGAAAAGAAAATGATTTTAAAGCAACATATTTCATGTGAGTATTCTCAAAGAATTCAACATGTACTTCTTGTCTTAGGGGCGGCGTGGTAGTATGGTAGTTATATCATTTTTCGTTACGATTGAGCCCCGGGTTCGATTCCGCCCATGGGTCCGATATGTGAAGCCCATTTTCCTAAAGCTATACTAACTCACTTTTTAGTCAGGCAGAGGGGCACTATGATTTCTTATTCAGTCGCATGCTTATCAAGAACGACAGTAAATGTCAAAAAAGCTTCACACAGGAATCTTGTTCTCTACCCAGATTTCTGGTATTCAGTTTCAGTGAATCCTTAAACACCCCTACCATCAATGGTAGGTGTACTTTGACTTTTCAGTTCCAGCGTGTAAGTCCCATTACGTTCCTTACGCCCATCAAGCTATTGTGCCCTTATGAATCTCAGGACATCGTATCGATCTGCCCACGTTTGTGTTGTAAAGCTGACGTTTATTGGGTGTTGGGGGATTCCTGTAGAATATCACATGTAACCAACCCTTGAACTAATGCTGGAAAGACGAAGCCTGTCTCGTAATTGCAAAGGGATCTTGTTCTGAATAACTACAAAAGTAATTGTCTCACGAATTCTCCTCACTTGTGTCTTGATCTATGACGAAAGCACCGAAACTTAATATGTTACATTTTGTTTTTCTTGACCACAGTTTCTCTGCGTCTCTTCAGCTGTGTAAATTACAGCTGTAGAAATACATCAGAAACTGAGTTGTCAGGCTCATAATGGAATTAAGAGGAACGTAAACGATGGTTTCATTGAAAATGTGTTTTGTATGAATTGTATGTCTGGGACCTGGTACTTTGTGCTCTATGTCCGTGCCAGTGTTGGTACAAGATGTACTGATTCCTGCTCATTCGTCCCAGACATAGCACGAACGACTGCATTAGTGACTCACTCTTACTGAATACTGTCAATTCCATACTGATTAATAATGATTAAAAATTGAGTGTTAATTATGGTTCCTGATAATTTCACCTTATAGTAAGTAAAACCTACCGCAAGCCAGTGCAACGGGTTGAGGGCATTGTTTGATACACAGATCTGATGGGGATTTTGGCGTCCTCGCAGAGTGAGTGAGGGAGTGTAGGTTGATACTAAATTCGAATGCCAGATTAATATAGGAGAAGTGCCTAAAATGACGCAGGTCCTAGATGGTATCACTTTTATCAACCCCCTAAAACAACTAATGCGAATCTGTACTTTGTACCACCAGTCAAAGACTTCCACGTGTAAGGGACCCTCTGCACCGCAAACTGCGTCGACGTAGACGGCTTGACTACCCCTTCCTTTCCGACGTTTCTGACGACTTCAGAAAATACGTCCACTACACAGCTATTGACATGTAACGTAGAAATACAACGTAGTCGTTCATCGATGGTTCATAGAAGTATACTTTCCTAAAGCTGAATAGATACAGAAGATGCTGTATGCTTGTGGTGATGGAACTTGACAGCAGAGGTTTTCTACACCCTATATAGTCTAACCAAATACCAATATAGCTGCAGAACATCAACCTAGCATCGTGGGCCAAGCACTGTCTTTCGCCACTTACGAAAGCACATGCGAACATATTACTATATAAGAAATTGATAGCAAACCACATTGATTCAATTATGTTGGACTACAATCCTGAAAATAGCTGGTTCAAGGAGACCTCGGCATCAACACAAGCACCTCAAACACAGTTATACATTAACACTTCAACACGGAAACAAATTGATCCTGAATGGGAACTCCATCAAACAGACTGTGTTGTGAAATAATGATGGATGTCATTTCGCTCTTTCTACGTCCACAGATATTATCTTAACACGTCCGAAACAAAACCTACAAAACCAAGCTGACACTCCATATGCATTATACACGCTATAAAGACCGGAGACGCCTGGCTCTGAGAAAGGAACGCCTCTCATTATGCAAAATGCAATAATACATTAGCGTTTAGGATATGATTTTGATCAAACCGACACCGCTCGTGTGTTTATGACAGCTGAAGGAACCCCTGTCGATAAATATGTAAAACTGACCTTATTATGCAGTAATATGTACGGCGAGGTCTATATGCCTTGACATGGCCTGACAGGGTTACTTTGGAGTGAGTGGTGGGGTTGATTGTGTTAAACTGCTTCCTCTCCAACAGTGGTGAGGTCGTGTAGACCGGTTGCTAGAACGTTAGTGAGTTCGGTTCCATATACGGATAGGTTTCGTTAGGCTCAGTGATGTTTAGGTACAACTAATGTTTCGGAAATATTGATGTTCAGGCTCAGTGATGTTTAGGTACAACTAGTGTTTCGGTAATATTGATGTTCAGCAATACTAATATTGCACACAAACTGGCATTTCGGTAACACGATTATTCAGTAACGATGACATTGCAGGAACACTGATGTTTCAACAAAAAACACATACAGTTTGCGATTTCCTGTTTCCTGAGAGTTTGTTGGTGTTTTTGTGTTCTTGATTACAGCAGATTACGGTTGATTTAATTGTGCCCTGTTATTTAATCTTTTACAAGATAATTAAAAGAGAAGAGTGCTCCAAAAGAAGTTATCCAATTCCGATACCTTTCATTCGAAATAGATAAATAATAGAGCCAGGTTGGATCCAATTTCGCAGTATCGGAGACAAATTAGTATGTTTTCACAGGCATCAGGTGAGAATGAGGTTTACAGGTATAGAATGCCCATCTTAACGTATTAGTCCAACTGAACTCCGAAATTCTACACCCATCAGTAGAACCGCTGTAGATATTCACCGCATTACAGCATTAAAATGAAGCCAAAGCCAACTCCCAAAGCATGCCCACTGTGGACCTAGTGAAAACATCGAAGTAGTGAATGAGTGAGTTTTAGCGCCGTTTTGAACACTATTTCAGATATACAACGGCGCGTCAACTGGAGGCGGTGGTCTTGGACGAACACCTCTTTCATAGAGTCGATGTCTTACAAACAGACACGTAACGATCGTAGGTTTATGGCACGTCCAGAGGACACGAATCTGAACAACTTACTGTACGCAGCACGTTCATCTAATGGAAAACAGGTGCATAGAGGTAGACTGTGCAATAATGGTATTCTTTCTAGATGTACAAGTTGAAGCACTTGAATAAGTGCGGCAAGGTTAACGGCGTAGAAACAGTAGTGAGTGAGTGAGTTTAGTTTTACGTCGCACTCAGCAACATCCCAGCTATATGGCGGCGGTCTGTACATAATCGAGTCTGGACCAGACAATCAAGTGATCAACATCATGTGCATCGATCTACGCAATTGGAACCGACGACACGTGTCAAGCACGTCAGCGAGCCTGACCACCCAATCCCGTTAGTCGCCTTTTACGACAAGCATGGGTTACTGAACATCAATTCTAACACGGATCTTCACGTTAGGAACAGTAGTTCAATGGTTAATGTTTGCTAATCAGGGAGGGAGTATCGGAAACATCTGAACTAAACCCTTTTGGTGAAAACCTTAAACCATGGAAATTTACCAAGGATGGTGATCGTGGCAAGTATTGGATCCGAACCCTTGATCAACGAATCCTGTGTGGTGTGGACAAGGGGTACAGCTCCTCAAGGGACAACCTGTCTGTTTGTGCCTGTGCGTGTGTGTGTGTCTCTGAATGTGTGTGAGTCAGTCTTTGTATTTGTCTATTTCACAGAACATCACCAAATGTTATTATTCGAGGTGGCATTAATATATGTCATTGTATCCTCATTCTGTTTAAGATTTCCTTGTTTAACAAAGAACCATAATTAGCTCCTAAATTGACAGGGTTTGTCTTCCTCAACACTTTAAGATCTCAGTATTCTCTCATTTGCAATTTCATCTTTTCGTCAGGACCAACGTCCATATCGCTTGTTACCTATAAATATCTGAACATATGACCTAAGTTATGCATTAAGCATTTATTTTATAACCCAAAGTAACGGTAATGTCAGCCGCAGGTGTGGGGACGTACTAATGGAGAGCATTTAACATACATCCACTAGTTTGTCCCTGTTCGTATTTGGCACTGCCGAACATCGACTGAGTCTAAGTGGTTCCCAGATTAATGACCTTATCATTTACTCCGGGAGATTTAATTGCCCTATCAGTTTGTCAACACAGCCACTTTTTCTCAATACGAATTGATGTTCCGAATTTTAGACTTCTTTTAAATGTGAGAAGCTGGATTCTTACCACTCAGGATTGCACAGATTCTGGAGTTGACGGGTTTGTTGCAGAAGTCGCTGAAGCCGTTGATGCAGCTGATCCACTTGATGAGCACAACCGCCAACAGGGCTACTGATGTCCAGGGCCGCATAACTTGGCCTTCTGCTAGACCACGGAACAGGGGACCCTTCTGCAACACAAGGGTACGTCTGTCAAGTCAACAATGAGAAACTTCAATAAAACAGACCTCCTGTACATATACAACGTCAGAGGAAACACAAGCATCGTGGTCTTTATTAACACAAGCAAATCCGTTAAGTAACCCTCTGGTAGGCAGCAACCGATGACAATTTTCAAGTTTGTTTGGTTTTACGCCGCTTTTAGCAATATTCCAGCAATATTGCCGGGGACACCAGAAATGGGCTTCACACATTGTAGCCATGTGGGGAATTGAACTCGGGTCGTCGGCGTGACGAACGAACGCTTTAACCATTAGGCTACCCCACCGCTCCCTCAAGTTGAGGAGCAGCAAGTAAGGGGCCAGTCCGGAAGCATGAACGTTATGGGGACCCGAGTTACAATAGGTCACCAACACTCTATTGCTTGCTGACAGAGAGACGACTAAGTGACATCGGAATGTCGGAATCTGTGGCTGGTTTAACTGTGATTCACAGCGCTATTGTTCATGCTCTCACTCACTGGTTTAGAGATAAGTATAGACCACCGTGGTATAACATTAGAAGTATCAGGATATGGAAACACTCTGGTAAAGCAGGGTCTGCTCATTACAGGAGAGAAGCCTTCACGAACATATAGACTATAGCACACAACTTTTAAGTGCACACATTCACCGGAGTGACAGACAGTTCGCATGCTGTATAGTACCCCTTGTGGTGTACACTTGCTGGTTAAATAAAGTTTCAGTAATACAATCAATTACTCGATGAAGAAACTACATGCTGAAAAAACGTTTCCGAACAAGGATTCCACGGAGATTATATTAACATACAAAGCAAAAGAATCCTAATTTAGATTTCAAGCCTCCCCGTGATGCTTCCGACCTCAGAAGTATATTTGAAAATAAGCAGCCCGTATATTATAAAAATCATCCTTAATTAACTCTCTTGATGTATGGGGTTCGTTAAGATTGTCTTCGTGCGATCAATGGTTGGTGTAAACAATTTCATACGAACGTTCATTATGAACTCAAGGCTGAACATCTTCAGCCAATTTACAGGAACTCTGGGGACAGTGGCAGGTACTCTACGCCATTAATCATCAACCCTGCTTGCCACGAGCAGCGGCAATACAGGGCGCCTTTGTTTCTCCGCAAAGTAAACAGCGGGTCGTATTCCAACCAGACATTCAAAATCAGCTCACTTCCTATATTTGTTCTTTCACGTTCACGGTTATTTTAATTACTATTGCCTGGAGATTAAAATTCGGTTAATTAAAATCGTCATTACTATTCACGGCAGTATATTACTGGGATTATCAAAATATTGTTAACCTGATCAATGTCCTAAGTGACCAATTCGAACTATTCTGTAACGCTTTGTCAACGATACCATGATATATTGACTACACATGCAGTAATTAACACAAGGCATGTTGCGATGTTGTGTTGTTGACTGTTTCAAATGGTTTCAGTTACTGTCAAAAAGATAAAATAGAAAGGTCTTACAATTGTTAATTGTTTTGGATTCCACGAAATGGAAGGATCGAAACGAGTCCAAAGAAAGGTATTGAAACATGGATTACGTCCTTAAAAGAAAGTCTAGGAAATTGAAACCCTGTTGATTTAGATTGATTCGATTGTTTTTCCTTTGCCATGATCCCAACAAAGAACCTTTTCGGAAACTCTTTAAAAACCAAAAGATCTATTTATGATAAGGTGATCAGGCGTTTTTCTTTAATTCATTCTAAACAAGCTCTCCAAATCTTTTCGTCAGAAATATAAGTCGTTTTAGATTGTGTACTGATAAATTAGACTGAATGCAGAACATTGACTGGCCCATGTTTTTACAACACGGTGAAAGTGCCCTTCTGATGCGCTTAACATGCTTGTTGCATTGTGTTTTGCTTTTAACCCCACCATTAGCACTCAGATCAGCGTTCATGCAATGCCCTGGCATTATCGGTTTCAAGAAACGTGATGTATTGGTATAATGAAACAATACCACGAAAAATATATTTAACGAAGAAATAGCTATATCGATTTCTTTTAGGTAATGGAGTGACGGAGATGTTCGCGAACACTTCAACGTGATTGGTTGTGCAAGGTCCTATTTGTTTTCCCATGTAAACTTCATATTTGGTATGGTTGTGTCTATACTGAATAAAACTCTGAAAAAATCTAAGTTGGTGCTGCACGTCTATCTCTGTGCACAAGCTCATAAAATTAGTATGAAATGAAGTATTTCCTATGTTTATGTAATCTTAGAGACTTGTTTTCAACACCAGAATTGTTAAAATATATTTCTACATCAAACATAGCCTCTTCATTAGCCTAAATTAACAAACAACTTATGACAAGATTTCCAGAAGACACTAGAATTACCTTTTTGCACTTACAAAGACTACAATTTTATAACTACTATAAATACTACACTTCATTGCCGTAGAAGCAGTGCCCGCTTCCCAGGAGAACGATTCTCATTATTCACAATATATTTGCTCTAAATAGGTTCTCAGCGTATCTAAAAAATAGATATGACAAATGAACATGACACCAGACTCGAGGTTACTTGGACTATTGGAGGAATTGTCTCCCAAAGGAATTGACTTTCATCAATCAAATATGTCTAAAACAAATATGATACATTCATACAATATTCTATTCAATCTGTCCAAAGCTTTATTGGAACACCTGGCATCACCACGTTTTGATAGAGGTTCATTCACTCTCACAAAGTCAGTACATTCTTCTGATATAGATTTCGTTTTCTTTCCATTTGGTTTCTAACAGGTGCCAAGCAGCAACAGAAGCGAATACGTCAAGCGACTCTCAACGATCAGCAAACATATTCTGTACTTTATTTGTTTACAGTGACAAACACGTCGCTGCCAGTCAGAAGGGAATCGTCTGTTAAAGTCAAATATATATACAGATTGGTTCACGGAACATCCTTGAAGCACAGTGATAGAGCCCAAGGGACTGCGATGTCCGTATCCCCATAAAGAGTAATCTATTAGACAAGTAAGGAGTGAAATGGCCATGAGATGCTATATCCCGGAGTTCGGAGGGTCAGGGGAGTAATAGTTCTCCTTGTTTCATGCATCCTTGTGTGAGAAGCGACGGCGGGATACAGCACTGCCGTTATTCACGTAGAGGCACGCTCTGGACAATTATAACATATGGGAGGGATTCTCAATGATCTCTTCTTTAGTTATTTCAAGATTCGATGACTTACGTTTGTCAAAACAGCAAATTTGTGAATAAATATTACATTCTTTTCTTGGAGCAGAGGTTCGTTCGTGATTTTGTCTCACCAAATGGTAAACGTCTGAGTCCTTCAGTTTGGCTTCCTTCAATAATGCTGCACCGTTTATTGGAGAAGAGATATCCTCTACATGATGAGTCCTGGTTGCCTCGTTAAAATGGTAAACATTAAAGTACTGTACTTTCTGGCCTGTATGCTGGTGTTAAAGCTACTAACTCTCTGTGTGTGTGCCACTTTTATTGTGTTTGAATTGTGCTTCTTTTCGTGCGGATATAAAAATCTTAACGACATCGTTATGGACTCAGTTGTTCGTATAATCCCAAATATCAAAATATGGAACTTTCAATGACATAAACAAATCAAACGGTCTAACTGGTTTAAACCCAACTTGATATAATCCCAGCAAGGTTTGCTGATAGTTGTTCAAGGAATAACAGCGACCACTTTCAGTTTATATTGAACAAGTTGCACATTCAGATACAGAAGCGAGAGGATTCTCTCATTTTGAGGATTAATCGATAGAAGCCAGTTTGTAACGTAATTATTGAAGACATTTCAATTCGTATCTCAATAGCACATGTTATTAGCAAAACCCTTCTTCCTGTTAATGTCAAATGGACAACGGGAGGCCACAAAGAGAGGTGGATGTAACCATAAGCTGTGCGCTATGTGCAGCCTGTTGTCTCGGGCACGTATTATTAATGTAACGGTTGACATTTAGATACGGTGAATAGATCACGGGTGTGTATCTCACACATAGCCTGCATGGTACCACCCTGTTTGAAAGTTTTACAGGATCATACCGGAGATTACTGCAGCGTTATTATGCAGCGTAATTAATGTTTGTGTGCGTGTGTGCCTGCGTGCGAGTGTGTGTGTTGTGTGCGTGTGTGTGTCACTGTCTGTGTGGGTGGGTGTCTGGTGCGTGTGCGTGTGCGCGCGTGTATGCGTGTCTGTCTGTGTGTCTGGTGTGTGTGTGTGTCTGTGTGGTGGGTGTGTCGTGTGGGGGTGGGGGTGGGGGTGGTCTGTGTGGGGGTGCTAAGGTTTTATGGTGCTAACCCACGGCGGTATTATTCTAAACATTTCTTTACCAAGGATACACCTCTCTGACATAGAACACCTCCCACTCTCCGGGATGACGTCACTTCCGCAGTAAAGCAGTAAACGAATACCTTCATTGCATTTGAAAAACCTTTCCTACTGTAAAGGTCCATGTATCGCAATGAACGAGAAACCTGTTTTTCAGTGAATTAACAGCATTAATTCTGCAAAACATTATTTTCTAGTGAGTACTGAAGTGTAAATAATTGTAACTGTAGTTTTCTGAGGAGGTGTAAAGAAAGTATCTATTCTTGTTTTATGCGCATTTGATCATGTGCATGTTAATTGTAAAAGATGTTTCTGTTTTTCATTCAAACCGGGATGAAAGCTAGACCATTGATCGCGCTGCTACCTGACACCTACACGTTAGAAACGACCCACCGTAGACCATTGTTGTTCCTTAACTACCCTCGGGTCCAGCTAAACCATTCGGGCTTAGCATGTGATATGATTTTTACCATGACTCTTTTTCTGCCACACGGGAACTCACATGCTTGGTACATTTCAATATTAGACGAATAAGCGCGTAGGAAAATATCTCCCCGGAACATAACAAAGTTATTTTGAATTTTTTTACCCTACACAGCTCAAGAATCTACCAAAATGGTCAGGCCACTGGGTTAGCATAGTTTCTGATGTGTAGATT